GTTGAATAAGAAAGGTTTTCATTGTGACATACGTTACTCTCTGGGCAAGTTACTCAGTGAAAGCACAGCTAGTTCTACTCAGTATCAGGACCATCTCCTCAGGGAGAGGCCTGGAGAAGGCACTAAGTGCACACTGGCAGCATCAGTAAAAGCTGTGCGAGAAAACAGGCCACTTGGTCCATACACAAGCAAGGGAAGGTGACTTTTAAACTTTCTCTAGTCTAGTAAAAGGCAAGCCACACAAGTATAAGAGATTGGGAAAGAAAAAATGAAACCAAAAGCCAAGTTTGACAGAAAACTGTTGATAAGTGGGTGGGAAACTAATTCACATATAAGAAAAAAGTTCATTTTGTTTAAAATCTCTCTTAAGCCAACTGAAAGTACGATGCACGCCCACAGCAGACACACGGCTAAACCAGAGGTTTTATAGGAGGTCCCAGGGAAAAGTATATAAAGTATGCTGGTGATTTGCAGAGAAGAAAGTCACTTCTCTGATGGGGTGGATTTAACATTTTAAAAGAAGGAAGGGCGTTAGGAAATCACTGGCTAGGAGCCATAAAACTATAAAACATTGTGAGCATCACCAGAAGACACATTTCTGAGTCCTCTCCCTTCATTTTTCCCTTCTCCTAATGTCCTGCATACTCTTCCTTACGCTCCACAAATAAGTGAAACCATACGATAATTCACTTTCTCTGTCTGACTTACTTACTTAGCATAATCTCCTCCAGTCCCATCCATGTGGATGCAAAAGACAGGTATTAAGGAGGGCACGGACTGCATGGAGCACTGGGTGTTATACGCAAACAATGACCATGGAACACTACATCAAAAACTAATGATGTACTGTATGGTGACTAACACAATTTAAAAAATAATTTAAAGAAAGACGAATTTCTGAACATTGCCTATCCCCCAAACAGGAAAAGCCAAAGTCACTGGTTTTTACATATCACTGTGTATGTAATATTTATCATTTTCTACCTTACCAAGCATGGGTCTTGAATTTCCTTATTTATACAAAAGCTAGATAGGTTACTTCCTCATGCATATGAGAATGCTGCTGGTTCCCACTTCTGGCTCTTTGGAAACAAAATCATTCTATAGCATTTAAAAGTTTCCCACATTTTCCTATTGCTTAGAACACATTAGCACATTGATGGCTAAACACTTGTAAAACGTGTCCATGGATTCTTTGCTGCTCATCCCATTAAGAGGCAGTGTCTATGCCCTCTTCCCTTGCAGCTGGTCTGCCTGAAGAGTTTGTGTATGACAAAGAGACTGCGGTGGGACTTCAGAGGCTAGGACAAAAATGGCCACGTGGTCCTGCCTGGCTCTCTTGGGACACTCTGGGGGAAGCCAGCTGCCCACTAAGAAGTCCAACTATCCTTAGAACTACCATTAGCAACTGAAGCTGAACAGGTTACATGCAGGGGCTCCTACTGGAAGGCCTGGCCAAGCACCCAGCTGCTAGCTGGAAATCAGCTGCCACCTCAGGTGAGGCCTGTGGGATGCCCAGCCCGATAGAGCTTCCCATGACTGTGTCCCCAGCCAGCATTTGACCATATGCACATGAGGGATTGCAAGTTAGCACTGGCTGGCAGAGCCCTCCCCCAAACTCCCAGCCCACAAAATCCTATGCAAAATCAAATAGTTATCTCCTCTCTGCTCTATGAAAATTATTACTTATGCCCATTGAAGTCTTGACCCAAGTAAAAAAAAAAAAAATCAAATAGCTGTTGTTTGCCACAACAACTACAACAGTGTAGGATAATGCATATTGATGGTAACAGTAACTGTAATGACCAAGGAAGTATTTTCTGACCAATTCTATCATATTTCGTACCTTTAGTAAAAGGCAATTTCAGACCCAAGTTATATTAGCCAGAATAGACCAAGTTCTACTGTGCTCTAATAATTTAGCCTGAAGAGTCAACGGGAAGGAAAGTATGCCAGAAATCTTCCATTCCCTTTCTGGCTTCCCCCTTCATTGTGTTCCCCTCTGCCTCATCGTGCTCTGTTGTCAGGAAGTTTACCTGCATTCATAAACTTGCTCTTCCTCTGGGTTCCAACTGGGCTCAGCTAACAAAAGGCAGGAGGTGAGGGACAAGTGAAGTAGGGATATTTATTCCCCCACCCTGCCCTGCCCAGTTTCCCTGGCCTGCTCCCCCCGAGGTAGGCCATCCCTCTTGTTTAGAGACCTGCTCAAGACACTTCCCTCGTAGGTCTTGGTAATGGTCTTTCACTTGCCCCTTCAGATTTAGAGGTTCTAATAGTCCCCATCCCATCCCAGAACTAGCCTTAACGATACTGTGCCATGTACTGTTGACTACCTAAACTTGGCCCACATCTTGTAAGTAATTCCCTTTCTAAGCTCTCCTCAAATCACCCAGTTTAATATGCCGTCCACTTCTTGGTGTTTGCCTAATCCTGTGTCTGTGATTAAAAGAATAATTAAATATATCTTTACATTAAAAAAGAAAAATTACCCTGAAATCTCAGCAGTTTCATTCAACAGAAATGTGTCCTGTTCAAGGATAGGCGAGGAATTCTGTTCTTTCCGGTGAGTCAGGGAATCGAACCCCTGCATGGGATGACGACTTCATTTCACTGACTGCAGCAGCAGTGACGCTAACTCTCCCGTGTTTCCATCCTACAGCATATCTTCATGCAGAAAAAGTGTCATGCTATTCTGGCAATACCATTTTTTAAAAGTTACCAAGCATAGCATAGATTGGCGGTCTCCGGTATGGTTTCCCCTTTTCTTCCTTTTAATTATAGCAACAGCGTAAACGTTAGCAGGGTACCTAACCGCCTGCCTATAGATGCATCTGCAACCGAGAGCACCATGTAACTAAGCTCGGGCTGATGGGACATGAGCAGAGTGAAGTGTGTGATTTCTAGACCCTCTCTTTACAGGCATTTGCCCTGTATTTTCTCTCTGCCTTCCCTCCCCTCTGGAGCACCTTTTAGACTGAGAAGAGAAAAATAAAATCCATCTATCCATGTATCTAGTTAAGCCACTGTATTTTTTTTTTACCAAAAACAGAGAACGATGACAGGGGGTGTCATACTAACTTAAAAACTAACTTTTCACACCTTTTCCTCTTGTACACCTTTATTTTATACTGACATTACATTTTCATTTCCCCCTTTTAATCTGTACTTTTGAATACACTGTTACATTACTGAACTTCCACTGTTCTTTACTTAACTGAACTCTAACTCACATGGCAGCTTCCTTTGAAGGCATGGACTCTCTGATGTAGAACACAGACACTGCAGTGTGGGAGAGGGAAGAGTCCGTTCAAAGGTTGATGATCCTGCTTCTCATCCTGGGGAGATGTCTCAGACAAACCCTAAAGTCCACTGAAATAAAGACTTGCAGCCAAAATTAACCTCCCCAAAAAGGTGTAAAGGTTAAATAGTAGGTATGTTTACCTCCTAACATGTTATGGCTCCCCCGCCTCAAATTTCAAAATTACCCAATATGATGAAGGCAATTTGGTACAACGGCTCACAGTGCTGATCCTGGAATCAGAACAAATCTGGGTTTGACCCTCAGCCTTCCCACTTACTACTAATTTGACTAGAGGCAAGTTAACTGTCAAAGGTGAGTAGAATGGTTCATAGAGTAGCTGTGAAAATGAAAGAAAATAGTACACATTGAGTCCTTCATATACTGCCAGAGGATTCAATGTGAGTGGTTAGTATAACTATCCCTTTGCATATGCTGTTCCCTCTGCCTTGTATACCTTTTTTTCTTTTTTTTTTAAAGATTTTATTTATTCATTTGACAGACAGAGATCACAAGTAGGCAGAGAGAGAGAGAGGAGGAAGCAGGCTCCCCGCCGAGCAGAGAGCCAGATGCAGGGCTTGATCCCAGGACCCTGGGATCATGACCCGAGCTGAAGGCAGAGGCTTTAACCCACTGAGCCACCCAGGTGCCCCTGGAATACCTTTCTCCTCTTGTTGATCTGTCCCCAGATTCCTTCACCTTCATTACAACTCAGGCCCTGTGATGCCTTCTCACCTCCTCCGCCGGCCAGGAGCAATCTTTCCCTTATTGATGTTACTGAGTAGACATGTGTATTAATCCTGCTTTATCATAGGATACTCTAATTGCCTTTTTAAATAGCTGTCCCTCCTCACTGTGTGCATGGCCTGTTTCTTCTTCACTGCTGAATCGCATTACTCAGTGGAGTACCCTCTGTAGGTTCTTAAATATGTTTGCAAAATGAATTGAATAAATCCTTGAATTCATTCTAGAATCAACCCCCTTCTCTTCTGGATTAGGAACAAGGCCTACAAATTAATTATGCCTTTCTTTCTACGAAAAGAATTGTCCTATCAAAATAATTTAAATGAAGTGTAATTAGTATTGCTGGTTTTACAAAAGGCAGTTATCTGAACATGAGTATCTACAGATACAGGCTCTCTAATGAGAAATGTTCTTGTCTAACATTTCAAGATTTTCTTGGGAATTGTAAGATGCAATTGAAAGGTCTTAAAAATCACGGTCAGTAATTGAAAATGTATCGCTTTTATAATAAGGAACAAGTTATTATTAGAATTTTAAGGATAGAAAATAATCATAAGAATAGTTAGCATGTATATGGAAATTCTTACTCTATAAAGTCTTTTCACCTTCTTCTAATTGCCTTGTGATAGTGAAAGCAGCTGTAATTCCTATTACACGGGAGGTTATGTATAATCAACAAATACTATAGCAAAGATGCAAATCTGCTTTGGCCAGCTTTGGTGGCCTTTGTTGTGGCTGTTCAATCCAGACTTTGATAAAATATATTATTATTATTATTCTGCAGTCTTCTAGAGGGAAAGAGAATACCCACGGATCCATCTGTGAGTAAGACCACTATTACCATCCCCTTTAAAGAACTTAATGCCAGTTTCGATGACAGTGAAAATACACAGTCTTAAAGAGTAAAAGACATTTTGTAAAAGAGAAATTTGAAACACCAAACATTGAAATAAAATACCTCAATGCAGATATGATGCATTCCTCCAGCCTTGTTTTTCTGCAGAAAACCTGCAATTGGACTGTCATTTCCCAACGGATGAAGCAGCTCCATCTTGGTGTTTCCCAGGTTGACAAAAACAACAGACACTCCATGCTCAGGAACAGGGACCGCCTCACTTACCTGGGCCCCCAGAACATTCTTATAAAATGCTGTGGCTTTTTCCAAGTCTGGCACTGCAATTGCTACATGATTGAGTCGACCCAGGTTCCACAGAGGACCTGCCGCTTGAAGCGAGGACTGTGATGTGGAGAAAGTTCTTACTTTTGAAACTGAATTCTGAAGTCTGGAAAAAAACCCTGAAAAAGGGAATAGCCATTGATATCCTTCTTTTGAGAATTAATGGATTTATAAAATTAATTTTTTAAAAAACTCAATGCATTCCCACGAAATGTTGTATGAGGGCTCCCCTTTTCCACATCCTCTCCAACATTTGTTCTTTCCTGCCTTGTTAATTTTTGCCATTCTAACTGGTATAAGGCGGTATCTCAATGTGGTTTTGATTTGAATCTCCCTGATGGCTAATGATGAACATTTTTTCATGTGGTGTTAACTGTTTCTATGTCTTCATTGGAGAAGTGTCTGTTCATGTCTATAATGGACTATTACACAGCCATCAGAAAGGATGAATACCCAACTTTTGTATCAACATGGACAGGACTGGAAGAGATTATGCTGAGTGAAATAAGTCAAGCAGAGAAAGTCAGTTATCATATGGTTTCACTTACTTGTGGAACATAAGGAACAGTATGGAGAACATTAGGAGAAGGAAGGGGAATATAAAGGGAGGGAAACTGGAGGGGAGATGAACCATGAGAGACTGTGGACTATGAGAAACAAAGTGAGGGTTTTAGATGGGGGTGGGTTGGCCCTGTGGTGGGTATTAAGGAGGGCACGTATTGGATGGAGCACTGGGTGTTATACGTAAACAATAAATCATGGAACACTACATCAATAACTAATGATGTACTGTATAGTGACTAACATAACATAATAAAAAAATAATTAAAAAAAAGAAATGCATAATACATGTAAAAATCATTTATATACCTATTCTGGTTTTAATTACTGAAGTTAAATCAGGTAGATAAATGGAAAAACTATGTCAAAATTACTCTGCTCTGAAACAATTGTCCGGAATCAAAAAATTAATTCTGAGCTTTTTAGATTTAAAACAAAGATGGTATTTTTCATAATTTATTTATTGATCACACTTAAAGGACAATTACACAGCATTAAGGATTACTTGCTATTCTCTGCATTTCACAAAAGGTAAGTTTGAATGTGACAGGGAAACAACACACATTCAATGATGAGAACAAGCAATTTTATTTCTACTTATAACTGATTTTTTGTCTTATAGTAATATGTATCAAAAGTCACAACCACTACAGTGCTTTTCAATGTCATTTAAAAAAAAATAATTACTAAGGAAAATATCTCACTGTTGCGAGAAAAACAAGCAAAGATTAAGAGGGTCCTTAAACTTCCGAGAATTCCCTTTGAGACGAGATTTTTTTAAAACTGTTCCTTTTTATAATTTTGAAGACTTAGAAGCAGAACTGCTTCTGAATGTGAAGAAATCTCTTTCATTTAGAAATGGAAGAGACTTGTAATGTGTTCTCTCTGTGGATTACTGTTTCCCCAGTCCCCAATACACTGGATTTGAAGAGCCAGATTCTCCCCAGAATGAAAGCTTTATACATACAAGAGGTCTAAAAATAATCTTGTAAAACTACATCAGCTAATAAAAAAAGGTACAAAATGGCAAATTGAAGAACACATATTCTAAACAATTAGATTTAGCTCTTAATGGAAAATACATTAAACAGTACTTAGTATCACAGAGCTCCAGCTAACAAATAATTAATTCCCCTTTACTGAAATTACTGATAATAAGGAAATTAAAATGACACTATTTAAGACCACAAACCTTGTGGGGAAAGGAAGTCTCATGTGTGTAGTCTTTCAACCCCCCACTCAGTCAGATAAAGAAGAAAACCTCCTTACCAAGAGAGAAGAGCCCACAGGGCCTGTGCAGGGCTTATCACCTTATCCCGAGAGTAGCTTTCCCTCTGTCCAGCTCAATGAATGCCCTTTTGTCTCAGCTTAAAGTTTGTGTGTCATACGTTACATGAGTTCTCACTGTTTTATCAGTCCTCTGTGGAGAGGGGACAGCACAAGAGAAGAGTGCATATGTAAACTGTCCTGCACTGGCCACTGGGAGAGACTCATTGGCAATGGTGGACCAACACCCACTATTAAAGGTAATCTTGCTCTGTCTCCTTTCTATGAAAGTAAAGCATTGTGCCATCTACTGTTTGTGTTTTCTTTGAAGACTCTGACACCAAGATGCAATGGGGAGAAGTGTTTAGAGTCTTCCCCTGGGATTGGTAACCAGTGTATGGTACTGCTTGACAAATGTGATGTATCATAGGTCAGTAGAAGGCAAAATTCAGCCTCAGATAATCTTCTGCTGTATGCAAGCCTGTATTACTGATAATGGAAATACCCAAAGGTTGTCATTATCAACAAGATGACCTAGCTCAGTTCTATGGACTCCCTGCATTTTGAAATTCACGTGTATTCCAAACTAGTACACATGTACATAAATGTACAATTGAAAGTAAACTTCATGAAAAGCATACCTACTCCTCAATAGATGTGATGTGCTCTGACAGTTTCTACTCTGTTGCATTTTATTTCGGTTTTTAAAAAAATTCTGTCACTACCCATTAAATATCTATCTTGCTAAGTTTGCTGTAAAGATTAGATATTTGGTATAAAAAATATAATACAGTGCCAGACATACATAATAGGTGCACAATAAATTCAGCCATTCTCATTGTTATTGATATACAATGATCATTTGCTAACTGAGTGGTATGCAGGGTAATCTGTGGAGAGCAAGAAACCATCTCAAGAGCATGGTGGTAATGAATTTTAAAAATGCTAACAACCAGGGCACCTGGGTGGTTCAGTGGGTTAGGGCCTCTGCCTTCATCTCGGGTCATGATCCCAGGTCCTGGGATTGAGCCCCGAGTCGGGCTCTCTGCTTGGCGGGGAGCCTGCTTCCCCCTCTCTCTCTGCCTGCCTCTCTGCCTACTTGTGATCTCTGTCAGGTAAATAAATGAAATCTTTTTAAAAAAATGCTAACAACCAACAAAATAACTGGTCAAACTGCTCTTCCTTTCTTGCCTCACATCTTTACTATCTGTGCATTTTGCAATGAACGTTCAGTAGAGAATGTATTTGTATTAAAAAAAAAAAAACACATGGTAGGTAAGGCCAATGATCTTTTAGAGCAAAATGCACATCAAAAGAAGTCATTTGGGGGCACCTGGGTGGCTCAATGGGTTAAGCCTCTGCCTCTGGCTCAGGTCATGATCTCAGGGTCCTGGGATCGAGCCCCGCATCGGGCTCTCTGCTCAGCAGGGAGCCTGCTTCCCCCATCTCTGTCTGCCTCTCAGCCTACCTGTGATCTCTCTCTCTCTCTGTCAAATAAATAAATAAAATCTTAAAAAAAAAAAAAAGAAGTAATTTGCTCTGTGAAATCTTGAAGGTATCAAATAATGAGTCTAGGTATTTCTGAATTCTCCTTATTAGTGTTATCTCTACACAAATTGAGGCAGCTGGTGGTTCTTTGGCAGGCATCCTATTACTAGCAATGGAACATATAGAAATATCAAAGGAATAAATTACAAGATGTCCAAGTGAAGGTAAAGTTTTATATACTGTTCCAGTTTGTTGGGGGAACATTCTAAAACCTCTGACATTGAAAAGGTAGCCCAAGCAACTCATGTTATCGGAAGCCTCCCTATGGTCTACCTTTCTCCATGACCATCTTATCATCTGGAAATGGGAGAGGAGGAAGGAGTTAGTAGAATGACTGGTTCTTTTTCTTTTCAATGGAACATAAAATCTTCATATGTTAGGAAAATAGAAAGATAATAACAACTTTATATAATGTAACAGTCAAGACTTTGTAGTTACAGGTTCATTTTATCTCTAGAAATGTAAACTAGCTTGAGAAAAAAATACTTTATTGATTTTTTTTGGTCTCTGGGAATAGAACAAAAATAAACACAATGATAATGGTTAGAATTCAGTAATTCAACTTCTTTAAAATGAAGGGTTAAGAGGGGCACCTGGCTAGCTCAGTTGCTAGAGCCTGAGGCTCTTGATCTCGGGGTCAGGAGGTCGAGCCCTACATTGCATGTAGAGAGTAAATGCATAAACACACTTAAAAAAATGAAGGGTTAAGAACATAAAAATAAGCAAAAAGCATATAAGATACTCCATATCATTAGCCATTAGGGAAAGGCAAATCAAAAACACAACAGGATACCACTTCATATCCACAACTGAAAGTGTTGATGCGGATGTGGAAAATGAATCCTTGTACATTGCCAGTAAGAATGTAAAATGATAGAGCTGCCATGAAACAGTTTGGAAAACTCAGAAAGTTAAATATACAATTAGCATGTCACTCAGAAATTCCACTCCTAGGTACCTAAAATAATTGAAAACATGTACTCAAACAAAAACTCGTACACAAATTTTCATGACAGCACTATTCCCAACGGCCATGGAAAATGATTCATATTCGTAGAGTGGAATATTATCCATGTAGTGGATATGAAGCAATGATACAACATGGATGAACCCTGAAAACACTATACTAAGTGACAACATTAGGCTGACAGGTGCCAGACATAAAAGGTCATATGTTTATAGGAAATAACCAGAATGGGTAAGTCCATAGAGACAAGAAGCAGAATAGTGGTTGCCAAGGGCTGGACAGAGGTGAGAATGGGGATTGATTGCTTAACTGGCACAAGATTTCCCTTTGGGATGATGAAAATGTCTTGGAACTAAATAAAGATTATGGTTATACAAACTGGTAAATATAATGTTGATAACTTGTATATTTTAAAATGTTACATTATGTGAATTACCTTAAAACAACAACAATGGGATTAATTTAGCTAAGTCTAAAGTGCAATCCTATAGACTAAGCAAACTGGGGCAGAAAACATGGAATAAAGCGGTCCTTTTCTCCCTCCCTCTCCCTTTGTCCCTCCCTTCTGCTTATATGTGCTCTCTCTCTCTCTCTCAAATAAATAAATCTTAAAAAAAATAAAAACAAGAGTGTTAAAACCCAACAGGATTGCAAAGATGAGTATCTACAGATTTAAGAAACAAGAATCTCACATATAAGAAATAGATATGTTACCAAATCTGGTCTGTATGTTAACTTTGGTTCATATCTTTCTTTCAATATTGGCTCTTACTAAAT